AGTAAGTAAGTATAGAGATAGCATAGAGTCAAGTAAGTAAGTAATAAGTAACTAAGTAAGTTTCAAGTGCTATGAGCTTGAACAGAGATAGCATAGAGTCAAGTATCAAGTGTAGAGTCAATCAAGTAAGGTATAGAGTCAAGTAAGTTGATTCTATGTCTGTCATCTATGTACTCATCTACCCGGCTCCGCACGGAAGAACCCTTCGCGATGCTTTCGGGAAAAAACGTCTTTTTCATCACACATAAAGGAGAAAGCCACACGAAAACGCTTTGCGGGTGTTAAGCGTGAGAAAATAAGATAATCATAAATGAAACGTATTCTGAAGACGAAAACCAGACGTATTAGCGGTTTTGGAAAGGTTTGCAACCGACCACGACTACGACGACAGTCGCAACTGTACTACGGTTCTCCTGCTTCTGATGGCCCTTCTGGGCGGCGTGCACCCGTCATGCCGCAGTATCCATGTCTGTCTGTCCGTCCGTCCTTCCGTCCGTCTGTCTCTGTCTGTCTGTCTGTCTGTCTGTCCGACCAACCACACCACCACCGCCAGCAACAACAACGACAAGAACAGCAAGCATGACGACAACGAAAGCAACAACAACATCTCCAACAACACCAACAAAAGGAAGATGAAGAAAAACAGCGACAAGAAGAGCAATACAAAGCAACAACAGCAGCGACGACGACAACGATTACTACAACAACGAAAACACCTAAAAATTAACACCAACACCAGCACCAACACAAGCACTAACACCAACACCAGCACCAGCAGCAACCACAACCAGAACCAGAAGCAGAACCAGAACCGCAACCACAACCACAACGACGACCACAGCCACAACAACAACAAGAACAACCACGACGACAACGACGAGGAGGAGGAGGAGAAGGACTACGACGACAACAATCAACGACACCAGAAAACAACGACGCAAGACAGGAGCTTCGAAATTGCGAAACCAGACCCTCCAAATGGCAATTCCCCAAAAGCTTGATGCAAAACACAAGCAAACCAAGACCCTGCAAATGGTAATTCCCCAATAGCTTGATGCAAAACACAAGCAAACCAAGACCCTGCAAATGGTAATTCCCCAATAGCTTGATGCCAAACACAGGCAAACCAAGACCTTGCAAATGGTAATTCCCCAATAGCTTGATGCAAAACACAGGCAAACCAAGACCTTGCAAATGGTAATTCCCCAATAGCTTGATGCAAAACACAAGCAAGACAAGACCCTGCAAATGGTAATTTTCCAATAGCTTGATGCAAAACACAAGCAAGGCAAGACCCTGCAAATGGTAATTTTCCAATAGCTTGATGCAAAACACAAGCAAACCAAGACCCATCGGTGTCCTATACTATTTTGGTATTATCATCATAGTATGATAAAGCCCTATTCCAATTATAAAGGCCCCTACATTAACACCCCAGCTCCTGTGCCTCGATTCTCCCAGGTGCGAGCGCCTCTTGGGCTCTCCACCGCGCCTGGTCCCCAATGCAGCAGGCCGAGGACTCATGCAGGTCTCTTGGGAGTTTCGGGGTTTTTGGTTGCAAGCTTCGGAGTGTGTTGAGTTTAGGGTTTTGGGTTTCGGGTTTCTGGGGTTGGAGCACTTTGGAGTTCGAGAGTCTCGAGACTCTGTGTGTGTGTGTGTGTGCGCGCATGTTGCAGGTCGCCGGCTTTCGTACTTAGGTCCTGAGGTAGTCTGTAGTGTTAGGATATCGGGTTTCTCTGATGTCGACTAAACGGTGATGGCACAGGACGTTTCAAGGTAGCCTTGTGTCTTACACCAAACTTCGAACCCTCAAATCCCCAAGACGTCAGCCCGAAAGTCGCCAATCGTCTAGAAACTAGAACTCAAAGCCATAAAACCCTGGAAGGCACCCCGGTGCCGCGGAGTCCATCGGACAGGCTGTCTGCTGCCTCCCAGCCACCAAAGCCCAGTGAAGGCGGGGTTCAGAGCTCGGGAAGCCTTGTTTTTGTGGGGGAAATGGTGTGGGGGGGGGGTTGGGAGAGAGGCGAGGTTGACACATATCAGTGGCGACCATCAGCTGCAATTTCGGATCCCGCTTGACAGCCTCAAGGCAATTTTGGATAAACTGAGCTTTAGCAACCGTGCGCCTCGAAGGCTTCCAGGACCTGCTAGCTTCGCTGTTTGCCAGGACAGACTGCGGAGAGGAGCCAGGATGAGGCTGGTTTTGTTTTGCATTGTTTGGTTCCCTGGTTTGGGGATGCATCGGCAGTCTATATTGGTAAGTAGCATAAGTAGAAACTGACATACGGGACGTCCGTCTGTACATGGAAGTTTGCAAAGATTGTCAAGCTGCTCAAGACTGCGTCCCATGCCATCTCCAGCGGGCAAGCGCAGAAGCTCCGGAACCCGAATTCGATTTAAGGCAGCGCCGGTGCCACCAGCACCACCTGCCGAGGCATGACACTTGGGAGAGTTGATTTGACTCGGGAACTCAGAGGTGCCTTGGACGGGAAAGCTGCAGTGGATCACTCTGTTTGCAAGAGTTTTGAAACAACTGTCACGCTTCGCTGGATTCGCAGGCCCATCGGGAGCTGGCAGCATTCTGCGTGACCAAGGGCTACGTGCTGCGATTCGATGGGTGGTCCGGCACATTTTTTTCCGGTTTCAACCGCTCCAAGAGTCTCCTGATACTCTAATAACGAGACTAATTACTGAACTGAATGCGAGCTGCAGAGGTTCAGCACGGAGGTGGAAGACAGCAGAGTTTGCCATGCACTGGCAGGTTTGAGTCACTGCCAAGCGGGTTTCGCTGCGTCTTTCGTGTGGAGTCCGCAGCTGAGATACCCTCAACAGCCTCGACACTGTAAGCCCCAAGCCCTATAGGCTTAGATCGGAAGCATAGGGATTAGGGTTTAGTATTTAGGGCCTTGCCGGGGAATTCTGCCGAGTCAGGCGGGGATGGTTGGAGCGGTGGCGAGATCACTATGGGGATCCCTGTCGCGAAGCAATAGGGATTTTAAACTTCGTAGGCAAAGCCCCCCTTGTGCATGCTGGGATACGACGTACGAGATCTCCCTCTGCTTTCACCGCAACGCTAGTGAGCATATTCGCTGATTTCGATCGCATCATCTGTCAATCTCAGCCGCACGCCCATACTTCCTCTCATGCGAGGCCTCACTCAGGAATGTTCATCTCTGACCGCCAGGGGTCCAGTGGTAGCATTACCCCAAGCCTCAGCTCGTATTGAATGCTCAATTTGCGTTGCTGCGCGTGGTCAGGTTTCGGAGGAACGGCCAAGTTGTCTCGGAGGCGAGAAGTCACAATACTTTCGCAGCATGCTGGTGTACTCGTCAATACCCGGGGCAGTCCGGTGCAGCGTCTATAGACAACAAGATCCAGTGTATGGGTTGATCCTCCAAGGCAACACATTGAGCAGTTTGCTTTGGCCGTGTTTTTCGTCAAATACATGACCACAACATTCCTTGGCCAATCAGGTTCTAGCGTAGTGTGCTGCAGGTGTCACACACTGACAGAAAGAGTGCCTAGCTAGTTGACATGACTTCCGCGATTCCACTTTTCCAAAAGTGCTCCGGCACTTTCTGACAAGGTGTTTCGATCGAAGCGCCCCGCTCTCAGGATGTTCCCATGTGTGGATCGCACCCAGGCCTCCACGAGTTTCACCAGGCTTGCCTTGAGGTGAGAATTCCACAAAAAACAAACCAGTACCAGCCATGCACCAGATAACTATCAGCCAAGTATCCCGGATGCCAACATCGCGAGATCTACGTTTCGGAGTAGCATCGTTTGGACTTCCCCTCTCGTCCAGGATTGACTAAGTTGTGGAATGCTCTTCGCCGGTACGGAATTGCCTTCCTGTCCACCCTCAACACCTGATACTGTAAGTCGTTTGGAAAAAGCTGCCACGTCCAGCGCTTGCACGGGCAGCTGATGGCTTTTTCTTCAGGTGGTCAGCGCCAATGCCACAAGCCTCTCATTACAAAAGCCCACCCTGAATCCAGAACTTGCTGAGGAGTCCACGCAGGAATCCGAGCAGCTCAGAACGATGCAGCGACTGAGGCCATGACCTCAGGCCAACCATACCGACCGAGAGAGTGTTGGTTTGGTGTCGAGACCTGAGAGCAGGCCAGGGGATCCTTGGTTCTCCATCGCGCGTGTCAAGCGAGCAGTACGTACCATTGCTACGGAAAGCAGTAACGACTGGAACCAGATGGTGGTGGGGTTCTGGGTTCTTGGGTTGTCGGCGATTTGGCAAGGATGTGGCAGCTATTTCTCTTAACATCCTCTGCATCATGCCAGTGGGGCAGACCTGAAGGCATCGGCAATCCGAAGTTTGCTTTCACCCTATCCTCCCTCACCTCATATCCCTCAGGCCCTGGCGCACTTGCGGGAGGCTCGCACATCCATCGTTAGCAAGAGCTTGTCAGCAGTTGGGTTTTCGAGTTTTTGGAGTACCTAACCGGTCCGTGGCACTGCAAAGGCTTGAATTCCAGGATGCTGCGCTTTGAAGCCTTCAACACTAGATTCAGATCCCAGGACTCCCCGCCTCGTGTTGCCCTCGCCTGTGCAGGTGGCGCCTGAGACTACTACTGACGGCCCGACAGCCTGCGTGGAAAACGAGACCCACTCAGCAAGCATTGGAAATCTGTGGGAAAACTTCGAGTTTGGACGCGCTTTGCCACCCACCAACACTAATACACATCCATACATCCTTTCGGCTCGCAGACCGGGTCTCCTACAGAGCCCAATGTTCTCATCAAAGGCACACGGATGTGCCTTGCAGAGGCGGCTACAGAAAGGGGTGGGTTTTCTCACTCGCCTGGGCTAGTGGCTAGTGGTTCTCCTCTCCCCATAACCATGTTGCTGATGCAGAAGTTCTCAGCACCAGGCAACCCCAAGTCTTCGAGAGCTTCGGAAGTTTAGGAGTTTCGGGATCTGGGCTTTGAGGGTCCGAGCGCCTTTTGGCTCCCGCGTCCATTCCGCCTCTCGCAAAGCTTGAAGAGGAGTGACTACTGAGCCGCTGGGCATGGCGCCAACCAGCCCCAAGGCTTGTTCTGTGGTTTGGGAGGGAGGCTACTTGTGCAGTTTTTCGCTGCTTCGCTTTTCGGAGGGCTGGAGGCAGGTACAAAGTTACGAAGCTAAGGGCCGGTCTTGCGCACGGACTTGTGCAGCACGGTCTCACTTGTCTGCTCTCGTTGCTTCCAGGTTCACATGATGATAGGAGTCAGCGCTCTTGCAAGTTTAGGAGAGGATTCTTCCAGGTTGTTCCTGTGGCCATACAAGGCATCCGGAGTTCATGCAAGTACAGGGGCCAAAGTCATTCAATCGAACTCTTGCCGCCAAGCTCACGGAAGTGCCTGCCCCACTGAAAAATTCATGGGGCCCGCCTCCGAAGAGGGGCAAGCATGGCCAGGTCAGTGACGACAGCCTCCGCACGACGCCCCAGCCCGGGGGAGCTGCCCGAAGCTCGGTTGGGAGGTATCCTCTTTTCTCCAAGAACTGTGGACACTAACGGGTTCTCACATTCAATTCGAAAGGATTTAGTTGCGGCGGGTGCGAGGTGTTTCGGCAGGCGCCAGCGCTTTCGCGATTGCCCCTCAGCGCAAAACCCCAAGCGTTTCAAAGACCTGCAACGATGAAGCCAACCAAGGCACCCAAACGACTACCGAATGTGGAACTCTGGGCCACGCATGTGTGCTTGACTGGGCATCCTGGTGTTCTTTAGCTGTTTGGAGTACCTAGGTACATTTGTTGACTTTGCTTATCTGTAATTTTCATTATTAGTTCTACAATACATTACTGTCCGTATGTTCATCATAATCATCGTAGTTGTCGTATTGCTACTACCGAATCATTGCCAGCATGATCGCGCAGTACTGTCTTGTGAAGAATGCTTTGGCTTTGAGGTCACCAGTCATCCGTACTCAGCTCGTAGGTGGAAACCGGGTCGGCTTTGGCGTCATGCCCTGATGTTGGGAGGCCCCGCTGGTGCACATCGGGCATCGTCGATCGTTCCCAGCGCTGTCTCGCTCTGCGATGCAGGCTGGTGGGGTTTAAGTTGTTGGGAGTTCGTGTATGCATCCGCAAAGTCGGCCAGTTATTCGTGTTGCAAGGTACTGATTCAGCACACCTCAAAACAAACGCATGGCTCACGACATTTTGCGGGCTTCGGTTCATGTTCTTACGGTCTGGACTCTGGGCTGTATACAAGGCTTCCCAATCGGGTTTAGGATTCTCCGTCGCTGTCGCTTTGTGTTGGCGGAACGTGTATTTACATGGCAGACATGCAAAGCTTCGGAGCTACGACCTCGAAGCCTTAAACCGTACCTGTGATTGCACTAGGAGACATCGATGGGCTTTCCCGCCACGCACAGGCCAGGGTGGGTCATTTCGCAAAGGTTTGGGCTTCAGGGCCCGCACCATGCGAAAACCTTCCCATTCTGTGAATCAGAGTTCCTGAAGCTCCCCGAAAGGCCTCCCTCGCTTCTTGCAGCTCCGGCCAGGCAAGGGCGCAACAGCCAGGCGGGCAGACCTACCTGAGTGTTTTCACGTGTCGCGAAGCCGTCTGGAGTAGTATTTGTGGTGCCCAGTATGATTGAATGCAATGAAAACTCCGATGATCCCACTTTGTTTCTGAAATGCAATTTCGCCGACATCTTGCGTGGCTCAAGCTGCTCGAGCTTTTTGAGCCAACCTGCGCATGGACAGCTTTTAGCATCTCGAAAACGCGAAGAATTTTACGAAGATCCCTGAGATCCTCAACCCAAGTCGCAAGGAACGATTAGTTCGGCCCGCCTTCTTTGTGCTGGGGATCCATTTGTCATGCACACCTTCGTACAAGCGTGATTTGACAGTTGTCAGTAACCGGTCGATCTGCTTAAGCCTAGCTTACACACGAATCTTGCAAGGAGGGGCTCCACTAACAAGGCTGCGGCCTTCTCACCACAACCGCGCTCCCACTCACAGAAAACGTGAGAAGCCTTCCGGCCATGCGTCTCGGCCAGAATTTGCGGCTGCACAACCGATGGTTAGGCTCGAGTGTGTCCATGGGTTTTGATTCGTGGCTAAAGCGGCTAAGGTAAGGGCTCTAGTCTGGTCTGGTCTCTAGTTAGCATGAGTTGATGGCGCCAGCTAGATCTTCTTTCGCAGCTCCTCGCCTGTGGCGCAAACACTTGTCGCATTGCTTGATATTCTGTCGACCATAGTCTCTGCCCCAAACACTAATGGAAATGTCAGCCCTTGGCCTGTAGCCGCTTGACCCATGGAGGCGCCAGCTTGGTGGCCCTGGCTCTAGCCGCAGGCACTCGAGAAAGGGGATGGATCAGCGACCGAGCGTACCTGGGCCCCGGGCCCACTTATCCCCCCTCCGGCCGGACCTGGAAAGTTCTACACTTTGGGGATGTTGCTTTGCCAGTTTTGGGTTCTCTCTCTGGGGCTTCGAAGGTTGCAGGCGTTACTGTAGTCAGAGGGGTCATTCGTTCACTTCAAGCGGAAAGCTCTAGATTTGGGGTTGGGGAGATGCTGATGTTTTGGAGCTTCGGGGACGGATTTAATCATGAATTCTCCGCAGTTTCGGGAGCAATTTGATTCAGTCTTGCAAGTGGAGCACCGCTACGTTTTTAGATGTTTAATTTCTCCAGCATGCTCAAGGCAAAATCGAAGTCTCAGTGACCCTGAATCTAGGCATTTCCAGAACCCTGAGACTCAGCCCATTTTGGGTTCGAAGAGGCAGCAGCGTCGCGCGCTGTTGGGCTTCGATTGCCGTGAGTCTCAGTGTGTTGCGATGTCCCGCATCATGAGTGTGATGGGGCCTATACCCCTTTTTCCAAGGATCTTTCCGAACAGGTTAGGAAATGCATGAAGCATGCAACTACACCCCTTGCCTCTCTGGACGACTTCCGGAGCCCCTGAGCCCCAACTAAACACCTTTTCAGCCCTAACACCCGAACCCTAAACCGCCCCAAAGGACCCTATACCGGCCGCTGCCATGATAAGGCCCCGGCACCGGCTGGCAGGGCCCTCCTGGGCTTCGGTGCCATGGCTCAGAGAGCTAACTTCAAAACAGTTCAAGTGCTCCCACTTGCAAGCCCTTATCAAGTGACCTCCTTTCGAAAGCTGAAGCCCCAATTGCTTGTTGCAGCAAGCCGTCCGGCTTGGTCCGAGTTTTTGGTAGAGATCTGCTTCAGACAGGGAACCAAAAAGCCAGCGCCACAAGCTCTTGGGGCTGGACAGACAGCGACACCTGCAAATATCAAATCCTGAAGCCGGAAGCCGCCAGCCGCCCACAGTCTGTCTGTGCCGTTAGCTTGCAGCTCTTTAGAATCTCTTCCTCTGCGAGGCCGTGATAGCTTCACATTCTGCACGCCAAGTTAAGCCCCAAGCGCTTAGCTCTTGTTCTTTCGTGCACTAGCAGGCACAGGCACACAAGGTCGTGCTGCAGGCGCAAAGACGCCGCAGGTGGGGACGACGATCAAAGTTTCATTGGCTCCAGGACGCTTGTAGAATTGTCTACTGAACACATAAGTGCAGATAGACAGACTCAGAACATTTCATCAGAACTCCATAGGTTTTGTCTCAGATAGGCTCAATATCAGAACGAAGTGCCTGCGGCATGATGAGCAGGGTTGGGCAAACGAGGTGGCAAGCACACCCCCTGCCACAAATGAGTCTGCACATGCCCAGTCGACATGTCGGAGGGGCCTAAAGAAGGCAGACGAACCCCCCTGTAAAGTAATGTTTGCATGCTGGCAGTTTACACAGGTATGTAGTGGTAGTGGTAATTGGAAGGGTAATGGTAAGGCAATGTACTGTGATGATGTATGTCTGCATGTCTGTATTCTGTGTGTACGTATGCATGTATCCATGTATGCATGTGTGCGTGTCTGCATGCATGCATGTATGCGTGTACGCATGTATGCGTGCAGGTGTGTACTTGTGTAGGTAGGTAGATAGGTAGGTAGGAGTTTCCAGGCAGTCAGGCAGGTAGGTAGGTAGGTAGCTGGGCAGGTATGTAACGGTACGTAGGTCTGTGTGGTATGGAAAGGAATGCAATTCAATGCAATGCAACGCAAGGTCATGTAAGGTAGGGTACGCAGGATGCATAGATGGATGGATGCATCCATGCATGTTTGCATGTATGCATGGATGCATGGGATAGGGCATGTGTGCAGAACTCGATAGCGGTGCTTTGGGCATGCCGCAACACGAAACTTACAGATACTTCATCAGAGCCGATTTCTCATCTCTGCCAGGGGCTCATTCCAGAACTGCGTGGCGTAAAGATGCCCCAAACAAATCTTGTGACGAACGCTGGGAGGCCGCGCTCTTCATCACTGAGGAGCCGTTTTGGTTGAGGCTGTATGTCTTGGAGTCAGAGCAGGGCTATTTGTGATTCGTGATCTAATTTTGATGTTGGCGTAGTCTGTGTGATGGCTAGTACCGGTGCTGCTCCGTCTGATTGGCCATTATGAATTACGAGTAATTAGCATTACTATACAACTGGACCCTTGCCGTGGGCCCAACTTGAATCGGAACAGTGCGGCATTATGCCGAATACCAGCATGGCTGACTCCAAAATTTTGTCGTGGACCACTTTCGTCGCGCACCATGAAAGCACATCGTCAGCTGGTTCTCTGTCACTAGCTTCTAAGATTTGGGTGGATCTTGATTTTGCACCTGTTCTTGAACGCTTTGGATGGAATCGTTCGAGAATCAGTGGATTTAGTTGAGCGGTTTCCGGGCTTGGGGCTTCGGGGATTCTGGTCAGGATTCGACGTTGGTTTTCCAAGTCTACCTTCCTGCAAGCCATGAAGATTCGAGCTCTGTATCACTCGTGTCGCTGCCAGAGCACGTGTTTCTCTGTGAGAAAACCACGGCCCCTCCCAGGAGGAGCTACAAAGAGCGCCGCCCATCAAGAAGAAGAGAAGGAAGAGGCTCCCTTTTCTTGGAGCCCCCCTCCCCTCGCTCATTCCAAGCTGTTTCTAGCTCTTCGACTTGTCCCGCATTTTGAAGACCGCCACATATTCTTCTGCGCAGACATGATCGCATATGACGCATGCAAATGAATCTGCGCCGGAGCTTCTCATCTTTGGCGCTCAGGGTCTACCTTCGGGAGGATGGAGAGTGGAAGCTGGTGTGCGACCTAGTGCAGAGTTAAGTAACGACTGAATCAAGCATGAGGATTTCGGCGGATGGAGAGACTACGTATCCTTCTTCGGACATATGACTATGGGCGTCGGTTCGAGTTGTGCAGCCGTTAGCACTTGTGGATTCAACCTTGCTTCCGACAGTCCTCTTCAGATTCCCAGACCCGAGAATCTTTGCCTTGCAGCCAAGATCAGCAAAGACCAGCCTCTGCCGACGCCATCCGAGGCTCACTTGCTTGCTTTCTGTACGTTTCGTTGTCTATGGTGCTTTTGACCTGGTCAGGCCCAACGCCTGAACACAGCAACTGACCTCAAGAACTCTCTCCCGAATTCCTCCCTTCCCTTCTCTGGCTGTAGTGGCCCAGCTGCCCATGCACAGGACCCCTCCAAGCTGCTGCTACAAATCGATGAGTCGGGGAAGGCTCGTCTTAGATGCCTCATCGTTTTAGCCATCCCGGAACCTGCAGAATGCCTTAGCCTGTTCCAGTGTGCTGGAGCAATCGTACAACACCAACGGGATCTTGGAGGTTGGCATGTGGATAGTAGGACCGCGAAGATTGGTTTCGCTTCCCGAACTGTACAGAAAGTATTCAGGCAGTCTTGAGGCACCTTCGTAAACCTGCATGCAGAAATTCCGTCGGAAAAGCATGAAAGCGTGCCCCCAAGATGCCAAAACATTGCCGAGCTAACAAAACTCACGCTGCTTTCGGCTCGTCATCAGACTCTTACAGCGTCTTACAGCCCCTCTGTTCGTCCGGGGACCCCGACCCAATGCAGGCGCTGAGGCTGCTCGAGTTCCTGGAGAACGCGGTTCCGTCCTCGGGTTCTTGGGGGTGTTTCGGGTTCGGGATTGCGGGTGCCTCTCCTGATTTTGATGTGTTGTTCGGAGGGGTCGCTGCAGCGGCATTTGCGTTGCGGGATGTGCCTGCAGCAGTTTTCGCATGCGCTGCGATGCTCCAAGCTAGTCTTGCGGTTCCGCGTTCTGTGTTCAACTTCATCTCATCGTCTTTGAGCTCGGTCCCGGAACAAAAGGCTTAGGCGGTGTTCTGCTAACCATAAAGAGGCCCTCCAGGCTTCTTACAGTCTTACAAGCTGTAGAGTACACCAGCCAGCAATGTCCTCCGACCTTTCGTGGGTGCCCGTCCGAGGTGCATTCGCCTGCATTTGAGATGAAGCATGCCGTCAGGGCACTAGACACCTTGGTGGTGCAGAGGTGGGGCTTTGTGCGGTGTGTTGTTTACGCGATCCTTGAATTCCCTGTGGGCCCTCTGAGCGTGACCGATTCAGCTTTACAGGTTTCTGTTGAGATCCCCGTTTCCCTGGATCCTCAGCACTGAGCTTTGGCCATGCAAACTCTGACCAAAGCCGAAAGCAGTC